TTGTGCTTTGGGTCCTAACACATTCTTCTAGTTCCATTTTACAAAGGCCTCTATGGACACCCGGAGCCAAAAACTTCAGCCACAGTAGAATAAGACAGCCTCGTGCCTTCTCTCCCACTCAGCTCTTCTTATCTCTTAGAAAATGGCTTATTAAGCCTTTGGAGCTAAAGCACCAGTAAATTTTTTTACTCTAAGAAAAAAAGACTTCTCTTTTCTTTAATTTAAAGATGTCTTTCTTTATGAATACATTAATATATTTTAAAAAATACATTAAAGTTCAGAAAAATAAAGTTTAAACAAATCATCTCAAGGATTTCTTGACCTACTAAACGTAGAGCTTCCATATGATCCAGCAATTCCACTCCTAGGTATTTACCCAAAGGACACAGAAATATCAATTCCAAAGAGCACCTGCACCCCTATGTTTATAGCAGCACTATTTACAATAGCTAAGCTTTGGAAACAACCCAAATGCCCAAAAATAGATGACTGGATCAAGAAGATGTGGTACATATACACCATGGAATATTACTCAGCATTCAAAAAAGATAAACACATGCAATTTGCAGCAACATGGATGGAGCTGGAAGGGATCATGCTCAGCGAAATAAGCCAGAAAGAAAGAAAAATACCGGATGGTCTCACTCATAGCAGGAATCTAGAAAACTTAAATAAGGGACCAGGAAAAAGAATAGCTATAAGAAAGAAAATATCAAAATCAACAAACAACTATGAACCAGAGACACTCTATGGCAGGTGGGGGGCGGGGAAAGGAGGGATTGGGGTCAAAATAAGGGGGTTGTAATTGTATGGGGAATATAAAAATAAAATTTAAATTAAAAAAAGAAAACAACTGATAAACTGCTAGATATAAGGTAGTAAGTTTACTTAATTACAACTAATGTTTCCAGGAAATTTTAAATAAATTTTCTAACATGTTACATACCGTTATTCACATATAAAAATCAATGCTGCTGTATAATTATTCACACTGGATTTTCATTATTTCTCACGCTGTTTCTCTTCCACTTAGTATAATATTAAAAAGTTCTTTCAATAAGCACTACAAAAAAATCTCAAGGCAAATCATCATCTACTTATGGGAAAAATCACAAAGCTGATACAGCTGAGAACCTGAATATGCCAATCACTGGGTCACATACTCGAAGTTTATCATCAGATTTAATCTTCAAAAAAACCTGATGAGGTATTTACTGTCTTTGTTTTATAAATACAGAAAGGGAGGCTCAGAGACTAAGGGCTGGGAAAGGAAGAGCCAGGGACCCTTCCCTTCTGCTCCACTGAACTCGTGTTTCTATAGAGCTGGAAGCTACTGACGTTATTTCTAGAGAATGGTTGCACCTGGCTGCCTTGCCTCCCCCACACTCACCACCCTAAGTTGTTGAGGTGAAGGGTTTCCCAGTAGGAGGAAGACCTTTGTGAAGCCCTCTACTCCATGCCTTTTCATTGCAGGCCAGTGCTGCCTCAGTACCAAGGAAGCTTCATCCATCCTCCCTTTCCTCAGCCTCACCAAGAATATCTGTGGGCGGAAGAAGTCCAGGCAGAAATGGAAGCTAGGCCTCCCGCACGGGGCAGATGGCTCAGGGGCTCATGAGCCAGGCCTGGGTCACGCTGCCTGCTCCAGGCCCACCGGGCCTTACTAGATGTGTGACCTTGGAAACGTGACAAGACTTCCCAGGTCACCATTTCCTCAGGTGGAAGGAGGGGTTAGTCTTGCCTTCCTCCCTGAGGGTGGAGGAGGTCAGCAGGGAAGGTGGGAAGAAAGGAGTTCCTCCAGCCTCCACCTCCAGCCCCCACTCAGCCAGTGGGCAAGGAAAGCCGTGGGGCAGCAGCCATAGTCCAGGCAATGGGTTGGCCTATAATTGGCAACTGGGAGAAGGCTGGGGGCTGAGGGCTGGGGGTTCAGGCATGGCAGATAGAAGGTTGGCTTCACAGGAGTGGGGGTTGTACTTCGTGTGGTCAAAGCAACAAGGTTAGAGAGTGAGTTCTCTTTGAGACATGGAGATGAGTCTTGAGGGGTACAATTTCTGGAGAAGCAAAGCTTACAGGGGCATTGGGTGGAGGTGTTTATGTTCCCCTGTCTGGTGGTTCAGCCATCAATGCGTGTGGCTGGGCTGTTTCTTTACACACTTTTACTTTTGCTTTCCTGCAAGGAGTTCCAGTGTTATCATTATGTTCAACAGTTATAAACACTCCCATTTATTACGCGCTCACTAAACATCAGCTTTACTTCTTTTTGCCTGGGAAATTTGTGCTTATCACCCTCAAGCAGGGCAATGAAAGAACTGTGCAAACACTGTTTTATAAGCCAGGGAGTGACTTGTTCATTTGCAGCTTTCATTAGAACAATCCTTGATCCGGGTCTCTTGGTTCCTGACTTTTTCCTGGTAACAGAAGAGTAGCTCTAAGGCAGAGGGAGTGACCCCCAGGGAAGTCAGTGAACCTCTTTTGCTCACAGATGGGGAGGTTTTAGGAGCAAAGAAGGGGGGGAGTGTCGGTGAGTGCTGCCTGGAGAAACCTTCAGGAACAAACCCAGCAGCCTGCATTCTTAGGCATCAGCTCCAGCCAGAGCAGCCTCCCAGTCACCATTACAGTGCTCCTCCTCCTTCCACTGCCACCTGTTTGTTCAGTGGTCTCTTCCCCATGACTGTGAATTTTTTATGAGCAAGATCTATGTATCTTTTCTATATGGCCACCTCCCTAACACCCATGTGCCACAGGGTCTGGGACATGGTAGAGCTTCAGAGTCCGCTGAGTAAGTGAATGTGTAGCTCTGTTTCTGACATGCTTGTGAGCTTGAGTGCAGCTCCTTTGGGGAAAGATTTCATTTTTTCTCAGTTACAATCTCATTATACCTCTTTTCTGGAAACTAGTACATTTGTGACGGTGGTACAATTCCAACGTGTTCTGTTAAGATGACTCATTACAACTGATGACTTATTTAATGAACAAGTATTTCACAGATGTTGGTAGCATATTCATACCACCCAGGTTTGCTAGGATGTATACCTGGAATGATATAGGACATGCAAAAAAAAAAGATTCTCCACTACTAAGAAATGTAACCAAACCATTTGTTAGATAAACTATAAACCTGGCCTCCAAATCAAAACTTTAGGTTGTGTTGACCAATATAGGAAAGATTAGAAAGAACAGGAAAGGCACCACCCAAAGATCAGGCTTGAACCTGAACCAATTAGTTATTTTGTGCATTTGACAACTTTTCTGAAATTCCTGATCTGTGGTAGCCCAGGGAGAAAAATGAGCTGGTGATTTTAGCTTTGTTATCAATTGAATGTTAAAACCCTTTCCTTGTTTAAAATGAAATGTTTCCTAGTATTAAGCTACTGAGCTCACCCTTCTATGACTGCTAAGATTAATAAGGAAAAAAAAAAAACACCTTCCATGTGTTACAGAAAGACCTAAATATGCCAATTAGGACAAACGAATGGTTTGAAATTCATTCACTCTCCTGCCAGGATTTGCTGAGTACCCCCCGGGACAGGGTGGGGAGAGGGCAGGAGGAAGAGACCTAAGACATCTAAGTCGGTAGCCACACAACTCCACAGCACACCCACACCTAGAAGCCACAAGGACTACCATGATTGTCAGGTGGTTTGCACTGAATGCATTAGGAGTTTTGAGAAAGGAGCATCCTGTGTCCAGGAGTCCAAGAGAACAGATAACTGAACGAGGCCTTGAAATGGGAAGGCTCGATGCTGACAGAGAGGTAGCTGGGGAGAATATTCCACCTCAGGGAAGTGATCTTAGCAAGAGGAGCATGCACGTGGAGGGGCGACAGGTCCACCTGAACAGAAAGAAGGTATACACCTGGGAGGGGAAGGAAATCACGTTGAAGTGAAGTATTAGGGCCAGGCAATGCTGGACTCTGGATGCCATACTGAGGTATTTGGATTATACACCAAAATACATCTCAAGAAAAAAAAGGTAGAATGAGTCATACTGCAACTGGAAGCCAAGATAAGTGAGAATAGTAAGAAAATGTCAGGCTACTCGAGATGTAGAACAGAGACCATCAGACCTTGATGGACCTTCCACTTCATTGGATTCAATGTCTTATTCACAGACGGGGAAATTTAAGCTAAAATAAAATCAAAACTTGCAAACTCTCTCAGCTAGTAAAGGGCAAAGCCAGAGCTAGAAACTAATGTGGTGTTCTTTTCACCCCCCTTAATACATTCAAATCTCCAGACGTAGGCAATCACATCCCAGGTTGCTCAAAGAACTCCCAGAACCATTGTCAATATCTTTGAAAAAGCATGGCGAATAGGAGAACTGTTAATAGACAAGAGAAGACAGAGTTGTCCCAATTCTCAAAAAGGGGGAAAGGGGCATATTATAAAAACTATAAGCCAGTCAGCTTGACAATTATCCCTGGCAGAATTCTAGAACAGAATTTTAAAAAGCTATTTACTCCACAAACATTATTATAATAATAGAAACGAAGGGGGAAATAACCCACAATTTCACCACTTTAACCCATCAACTGAACAGATTATTAAGTAGACTCATTGTAAGTCTTTAGAAAAGCGGAGATCACTCAGAGGCAACCCGAAATCTCAGAAAACAAAACATGTCTTCATTTATTCCCTTTTTGATAGGGATATTAGACTGGGAGACAGAAGAGGCATCGGAACCGTACTTGCTTTCAGCACAGCGTTTGACAAGTTCTAGCGTAATCACCTTGTGGCTAAGACAGGAACTGGCGGGAAGCCAGTGGCCACGGCCGCGGCCTGGGTGGGAATTATACCTAAAGAGTGCAGATTGTGTATACCAGCCTGCAGGGAAACTGGTGGCCAGCTGTGGAGACCTCTCCTTTGTACACACTTCCCTGAGAGTATTTTTGTCCGTGTCTTAAAGGAGATGCTTATCAGAGTTTCATCTGACTTAGTCGAGGAGGGATAGCGCCCCTAAAGGATGGTAGGATAATATGAACAGTGACAACAGCAAACACTTACTGAGCACTTGTGCATGCTATGAATCGTGGTAAATAAAATTTTCCAGAAAACGATCACAGTGAAATTGACCCATCCTAGGGGCAGGTAGTAGCGTGATCTCAATGGTGGACATGAGGGAACTGATGCTTTAAAAGATCAAGTCATTTGCTCAAGATGATGCAGCTCCTAAGGGGAGGAAGAAGATGCTGAATCAGGTATGTCAGGCACAAGAGTCTGCATTTAATGATGCTATGTCATTTTGAGAGACACAGCTATGAGTTTTAATCCACACCGCATCACCCAACTTAACACCTGCATTTTAATTCTAACAATCAATGGCACAAACAAGGGCTGGGTGCTTTGATCCATCACATCCACATGAATGACTGCGGAGTTTTATTTGACCCCAGGCTCCGATGAGAAAATAGTAAAGTGAGTTTATCAACTGTTGGCTTTATTCAAAGAAGCATAGTGTTTAAATCAAGGAGCTAACAGTCCTACTGGCTATGTGATCAGAACACATTTTAAGATAGATCAGAGAAAGATAACCAATCTAGATAGATCTGGAAACCATGTTGCATGTTTCATATTATGTGAAAAATGAGTAGAGAAACTGATGATATTTTACTCTCAAGAATGCCTAAGTCATCACCTTTTTAAAAAGAAATCATATTAAAAAGGTAGTTTATGGGCTTCCCCGGTGACGCAGTGGTTGAGCGCTGGGTTGCGAAGCTGCCCGCAGCCTCTGCAGCGCCGGTTCGATCCCCAGCTGCTCCCCAGCCACTGGAGGAGGGTCCCACATGGCGCGCAGACCTCTCCTGCCGCCCGCTGCTCCCCTCAGCAGTGTGCTTCGGTCCTTCTGCCTGCTCTGCTCCCCGCTCTGGCTCTGATGAATTCTCTCACTCTCTCATGCTTCTGACTGTACCCAGTGCTTGTATAAATAAATAAATAAATAAATAAATAAATCTTAAAAAAAAGAAAGAGGAAGTTTATTCTGTATTCCTCTAAAAGGAAGAATGCTGATGTGTGAGTGGAAGCTATAAAGAGTCACCCTTTGGCTCAGTCTCAGAAAGAACTTTCTAATCATTGGAACTGTCGAAATATTTGAACAGCTTCTCTGAGTGGTCAAGTTGACGTTATTGAGTTGAAACAGATTGGGGGGCCCTTGTGAATGTGGAAGAGGTTACCTGGGGAGTCTGGGGGAAAGACAGAGGCCATGTAATCTACTTTCCTAATCCAAAGCCCTAAGACTCAACTTGTTTTTGTTTTACTATCAATTTCTATTGATTGATAGATTGCACTTTTTTTAATCTAAGACTCAATTCAGATGTTAGCTTATCAGACCCATGGTTAGTAGTTCAAATAGTGAATCGGTGGTCAAATTATCCATCAAATAACCCTCAAATCCAAATATGTTAAAAGTATAGTTTGTTGAGAGTGGGAGAGTTCATTTAATTGGAAACTACCTAAGTTCTTTTCAGTGTTATCTTAACTGGGAAAGATCCATTCATATCAGAATAAGAGTCTATAACTTATCATCTTTGACTGTGGTGAGCAGTTAAGTCTCCTGACCACTTATCTTTGGCTTTTGACACTGCATAATTTAGAAATTTATAGTTCTTTATAAATACCTATACTCCTAACTACATATTTTACTGATTTAATTTAATCTTGACCATTTGGTTGATTTAGAGTAGAGCAGCACAATTAGATTATTGCTACTCCATAAAGTTTTCAGAAATGTGCTTGACAGACACTGATTGAGCCCATCCAGAAACAAAGGAATTTTCTCACTTATTAGAAAGTCTGTGCTCACATTTTTCAACCCAAGCCGTCCTAGCTTGTGTGCCGGTGCCATCTAGTGTTCAAATGTGCACATTTTCCAGCCAGAGAGCAAAAAAAACCAAACAAATTTTCAGAACATCCTTGAGGTAACACCACTTGTCCCTGCACCCCAAAAATTTTCATCAGGAACCCCCCAAGGAAGCAAGTATTTAATACCCCTGTAACCTTTGGGCAGGGCTTCCCTAACAGCCTACCCAGAGATATTGATTTATTTTATTTATTTTTTACATCATTTTTCATTTTTGCACAATGTATGCATTTTCATCTTGGTTATAGTCCCCATACAATTCCCACCCACCTTGTTTTGATCCTACTCCCTTCTCCCCCCCTGTAGTGTGTCTCTGGTTTATAGTTGCTTGTTGATTTTGATTTTTACTTTATTATATTTAGATATTGATTTTTTTTTGTTGCTCCCCAGAGTAAGCATTCATCCAGGAGGGGAAGATGCAAAGAAAACCTCCCAGGATATGAGGATGAACGAGGTTAAAGGGTAACATCATGACGCTTTTTACTTTCTCTTTCTTTTCAGTTTCACATTATTTAGAAGTCATGGCAGGTTGAGACAGGCAAGGGCTTGTGGCTGGAGCCTCAAGGAATTGGGAATGAAGCTGAAATGCAAGGGAGAGAGAGGGCAACATATGAGGACCTAGAATAGATAGTGAGAACTGGATTTTTTTTTTTTTCTGGGGCAATGATCTTTGAGAAGTGATGTCCAGGTCCATCTTGTTCAACTCTATGGCAGTGATAAGATGTCTAAAACCAGGCCATATTTAGCCTACCTGGCTGTAAAGAGAAGGCCAATTTATGTATTCCTGTTCTGGTTTCAGGATTATTCAGGATGGGGGAAAATGTTAAGTATATTCTATCAAATAAGAACATTGTTAGCACAAGACGAGCAAATGCTGAATGCAGAGGGTTTTGATCATATGGTCTCTAATATTGCCTTTTCACTCAGTTTCTCACTCTGTAACCTGAGGTCATTCACAAGGTAAGATGTGCCTCTTTGTCATGGTGACCTGGGCCAGGATTGGCCTGGTAAGAGCCGAGTGGTCTCATCAGCTTCACAGGTGAGTCAAAGCAAGGTTATCTGGACCAGGTAGCTGATCATTCATTACTACACTCAGCTACTTCCTGACCCTGTGTTCTTTGCATGGTTTGTGTATTTATTTCATATCTGTGTCAAGTCTTACATGTGGCTCTCTTTTTAGCCCCCGGTGAATAAAAAGTCCCTCAAAGTCAGGATAGGCTTCCTGTATCTTCCATATCTTTTGCTTCCTGTATCTCTGAGAATCTTGGCACTGGCCTGACTGAGTCTAGCACTGATTTGTAGGACTCCAAATGGGACCGTGAGACCTGATGGGGACATTGGGCTCACCTGATCCAATGATCTCAACTCTTACTTAGTTGGTAAACGAAAGTCCCTGAATAGGACGTGACTTGTTCAATACTTCTCAGTTAGTTGAACTAGTCCTTGGATCAGCCCCTGAGTTACCTAACTGGATTAGACTTGGACATGACACCTCAAGCTTCTCTCCCAAATGGTGGGGGGGAGGGAGGACCATGTGCCTCCCCATTCTCAGCTGGAAGAAGGTAGCCACAAGCAAGACACTGCTTTAAACCCTTCGTATATATGTGCTTTAAGCACTTCATATATATGACTGTTACCTACTACTTCATAATATATATATTTATATATATATATGTTTGTTTTAACATGAAAATAATGACTTTTTTTCTAGTAGGGAAAACTGGCACTGAAGGTATAATGGGGAAAAGCCATTTCTTTTCCTTGGCATAAAGCTATAAAAGGATTGACATCAAAGCAAAGTTGTAAATTTGGTTGGGGAGTGCTTGGGATTTAGGAAAGGTGAACCTCTTTCTGAATGCGGTTCTGGAGGCCATGTGAAGGAGGAACAGGGCACGAGGAGGATAAACAATGGAGATGAAAGTCACGATCTTATCTGTTCAAAGAAATAATGGTTTTTAGGGCCTCCCTGGTGGCGCAAGGGGTTAAGACGCAACCTATGAAGCTAACCGCAGCCACTGCAGCATGAGCTCCATCCCTGGCCAGGGAGCAGCCCACATGGTGCAGCAGACCTCTCCTGACTCGCCCGCTGCTCCCCTCAGCAGTGTATTTCAATCAATCTGCCTTTCTATCCCCCACTCTGTGACTGGTGAATCCTCTCACACCCACACCTCTGGTCTGTACCCCAGCTCTTGTATGCATAAAAATAAAATAAATCTTTTTTTAAAAAAGAAATAATGGTTTTTACAGGTCTCTTAAGATAAAATTCACATACCATTCAAATGCTCCATTTAAAATGCATCATCTTATGCTTTTTAGCATAAAGATGCTGTGTCTTGAGACTGGAACAGTATGTGGAGGGCAAAGAAGAGCTGATGGCCATTGTGTGATAGACGTACTTCTCCCACACAATGTCCTCTGGAGTAGCAGAAAAGGTAGTGTCTAGTGTTTAAAGGCAACCTATGCTCTGACCTGCCTCCTATTGATCTGTAGGGTGTTATTAATTCACAGAAGCACCCCACCATTTTGTGTGTGCATGCTCATACTCTCTCTTTCTCGCTCTCCCCCCTTAAGAGCTTTGCACCAGCTATACCCTGCATGGAATGCTCTTTGCCCAGCTGTCCATCAAGCTTGTCCCCTTACCTCCTCCAGGTTTTTCCTCACATCACCTTCTCAGTGAGAAAGTCCTGACCCTTCCTGACATCTCTTATCCTGATCTTTTCCTAAATTTCTCATCACTTCATAACATACTGTGCAATGCACTTCTCTGCTACATGGCCTCACCTGCCTTGCCTCACTGCCCGCTCACCCCCCAGTGTGTAAATTCCACAAGGGCAGGCAGGCTTCTTTCTCTTTTGTCTGCTGATACGTCTCAAGAGACTAGAGGCAGTTGCTGGAACATGGAGAGTGCTTGCTAAATATTTATTGAATGAAGAATGGCAGAGTAATCGGTATTAGATAATCTGGTGTGACCTCCCTGGGCGGGCTCACCAGGAGCAGGCAAAGCCCCACACGTCCAGAGAGACCTCAGAGCAGGCGGGCACCCTCCGCTGCCCTAACCCGCCACCCAGGCTTCCCTTCGCCTGCCTCTCTCTCCTAGTTTTTAAAATGATTTCTGATGGAAGTGTTTTCCTGCTTTCTATTTTTGATCTCAAAGCTTCTCACTCTCTTTTCTAAGTCATTTCTGTTGTCCCTTTCCGGATCATTCCTATTAAGTCTTTTTTTTTTTTTTTTTTTTTACAATGTGGTGACCAAAACCCTAATGTGGCATTCCTGGAAGGAAAGCCCCAGCCAGGAATGTCACAGCTCCAGAGGCTTTTCAGAATTCTCCACCCTCTAATTAGGATGGCCACACATCTCAGCTGCTGCTTTTGACTGCTGCTGTGAGCTGCATGTTGATGCCCATCGTTGTGCTGAGATCATTTCCCTGAGCAGCGAAAACTAATAATCAGTGGTATTTTCAATAGAGCCTCGCCATTTAGTGTGGGTGAGTTATTCAGCACTTCATTTTTTCTCCCATTGAATTTAATTCCTTGTCATGTTTCCTAATTAGAAAGATTTACAGAATTCATTTTGATTTGTTTTTTTTGGGGGGGAGAAATTCATTCCCAGGAATGCTTATCTCTGCAGCAAATGTTTCATCTGCTTATTTCACCTCTTAATTCCTGCTGGGGTTGTTAACGTGTCAGACTTCGACAGCAGTGGGGCTGATTCTGGGGCCGCCTCATTGTTGGCCCTTTTTCAGAAGGAGGCTGGGCCTTTATATTCAAGGCCCATGGACACAAATGCAGCCTTTTCTCCCATCCTCCGCTACCCTCTTGTGGCCCCTGGGCTCTCCTTTTGCACATTCTTCCGGTCTCTTGCTTCTTTCTGTGGAGCCCAGGCTGTCTCCCATATGCATTCCTAGTGCCTCCCCCACCCCAATTTCTGGCCATCAATGTGGTCTTTAAAAATCAAAATGATGGCAATAGCATTGAAATAATAAGTGGTACTATGTCGGGCATCTCGCCACTCCCTTGATTCTTCTATTGATTCCTCCACCCTCATTCCCACACACCAGTCTACCCATCACTCTCTCCATTCATCTGCTCCCTCCAGTGGATTATTTTCATTCTTTTCAGTGATAGATCTCCCCTGCTCCTTTTCTTCTCCATGCTCCTTTTCCCTCCAGCGTTACCTTCCGCTTCCTGGCATTCAAAGACCTAAGAAACTCAGTCAGGTGGGAGGGGGCTAAATCACTCAGGATGCCTGGTCTGGGATTAGCACTGCTCAAGACATCTCTACCCAGAACACACCAAAAACATGGATGAAAGTAAAATGTCTTCCACCTGTCTAGTCCTCCTGAGAAAATGAGGGACCGGTCAGTAGGCATAGCTTCTAGTGCTGTGGCACTGTGCCCGAACGATGATGCTGAGGGAAGCACTCCTAGTGCCAGACTCTTTGCAACAGGGAAATTGCAGGCATTATCTGCAGAGGGTTAATCTCCTGAGACACTATGAGCCCCAAAGGTGAGCCCACCTCTGAGAGTTAGGAGAGAGTACAGTGACATTTAAAAGTTATTTTAGGAAGTCCCAGATCCATTACCTTTCCTCAGCAAAGTGGAGGTTATTATCAGTTACTAACTCAAAGACTTAAAGGGCCCAGGAAGGTAAGTTAAATGAGGATGAGTTATTAGCCTGGTAACCGGGGTAAAGGTGAAAACCAATTCCCAGTCCACAGGGGTTAACTGTTTGCATATGAGAATACAGTGTCTCAGGGAAGCTTGAGCTCCACATTATACAATGTGAAATTTCCCAGTGTTAAAATAGTGGCCAATTCTCAAAACTGTTAAAGACTCTGTGTGTCAAATATCACTAGCTATCAGTTTGTGACCCCAAGATTAAATGATCATTATGACCCCTTCCTACACATCCACATTAGTGGACAGAAATCAGGAATAAGAAAAAAAATTATGCAAATTATTATGCAAATTTTGGGGGGGTTATGAAATACATTTCCTTCCTATTACTTTGGCATATAGTAGTATATAATTTAAAACCCTATCCACCCAATATACATCTATACCAGTTGTGTTCTCTCCACCGCACTCTCTGGTCACTAACCCTGGGGACCCTAAGCCTTCAAGGAAATGAAGAATTCCATAAAAGGTTAAGGACAGTTCCTAAACTCCTGATCTTTCCAGTTAAACTTGGTAAAAATCCATTCTACCTTGGGTGAAGAACTAATTTCTAAAGTATGTAAACTGCTACTGTTCACTTTACAAAACTTGTTAAGGACAACCACAAAAAATACCAGCAAGAATGGATCAATTTCATTGATTATAAATTTTAATCCTAAATACAGATTTTAATCAATTGAATCTGGCAATGTATCCAAAGAACAATGAATACATGATAAAGCAGAGTTTATCTCAAATATGCTAGGATGGGTTGAACATTAGGAAATCTATTAAGTATAGTTCACTGTATTAATAAGTCAGAGTACAAAATGAACACGGTAATAGACTTTAAGATACAGTTGATAAAATTTAATATCCTTTCTCAATTAAAAGCTTGCAGTAAACTAGGAACAGAAAGAATACAATGACGTATGTAAAGAATTACTAGCACAAACTAGGGGTAAATATTTATATTCCTGCGTTAAAGACTTAATGTCCATTATCTTGTTGTGTATTCCTCAAAATTTTTCTGATGTTTTGACCAAGGTAATAGGAAGAGATAAAATTGGTTTTTGGCATAAAACTTCAGAGAGATCAGCTGACAAACTAGTAAGATATTTTCACTGTGTAGTGGGATACAAGATAAATACACAAAAATTAATAGTTTTTCTGACTTAGAGTGATGAAAAACACCTCATTCACTAAAGCCATAAAACTATAACATATCTGGGAAGAAACTTCACAAAAAATGTGCAAATCAATGTAAAAAATGGTTTCAATGTATTTAAAGGTATAAAGACCTAAATACATGAAAAAAAGAAAAAGTTCCTGAATGAAAAGAATCATGATTTTGAAAATTTTGAAAATGAAGTGAATTAGGAAAGAACTTGTTTTATGACAGTGCATATGTTACAATGCTATAATAATTTTAACAGCATAGGAAGCAGACAGTTAATAGATGAGTATGTTCAGAAACATATTATCTCATGTGCATAAATGTACACATATACCAATTTTGCAAACATTTGTGATTAATGGTAGCACTTCAAAGTAGTGGGGAAAGAACAGATTATTCAATAAGTGATATTGGATCCAGTGGTTAACCAGTTGACAAAAAGTGAAAAGAAAAAAGGTAAAGTGAAGATGTATATCTCAACCCATTCACCAGAATAAATTAGTGCAAATTTACGCACTGTTCTTCAAGGTAGTTTTGGGAACAAATATCAAAATTTTAAATTTGTGCAACTCGTACCAAACAGTTCCATCTCATGAACTAATTTCAAGGAGGTAAATGGACAACTGCATTGAAATGTCTTTACAAGAATGTTTATTGCCCCGATTTTTGGAACAGTAAAAAGTTGAAAACTACTTAAATATCACAATGGCTTATTTCCAGTGTATATGTGGGTAACATACATACAATGGAATTCCATGAATTCCTTTAAAATGAGATAGCTTTCTACCTATTTTAATATACCTATTTTGATTGAATATTAAATAAAAAAATCAGATTCTAAATCTGCAGTTTTCTTTGATCAAAGAAAACAATTTTAATGTGTGGAGATGGAGAAACGCCTAGAAGAGCATTTAACAAAATGTTTTGTTGTGTTTTTTGTTTTTGTCTTTTCATTTTCCCCAGGCTTTGATTCTACTTCTTTGTCTAGAAGACTCTTTCTCTTAGGTTTCCTTATCAGGATAACTTTAAATGGAGTAGTCCTGAGGTCTCAGCTATGACTTCTTGGAGTGGAAGGGGAGGACACCCTAACCTAGGTAAGTATGTGCACACAGAACACTTGCCATGCGATCTTTAAGCACACTGCATCTTTTATCTAAATTTACTTTTTGCCTTTTCCCCCCCTTCTGACCCTAAGCTTCATGGAGGTAGGCACTGCGTACAGTTCAGTTTTGTTCACTCCGGAGCCTGGCAGGACCTGGCAAATAAAGGCCACTTATTTATTGAGCTCGTACTGTATGCTAAATACTGTGCGAGGGATTTTAAAGGATGGCCACGCCCACTATTAATCATGCTTGTGAAGCTTATCCCACATGCCACAGGTAACTCTGAGTTTAATTACAAGTGAATCACTCATTACAAATGACGTAATAATTATACAAAAATAATTAACCCAAAAAAGGTTAAACCATTAACATACAACCAGGACTGACGCTTGCCCATGACACTCACTATAAGGTGATCAATAAACAGTGGAGGAAGTACACCGATCGTGGCTGAGGCTCACCTGCCGGGCGGCGCGGCGGGGACCTGCGCGGGGCTAGCGGTAGTACAAGCGCCTCGGCTCCTTTACAACCAAAACACTCGCAAGCCACGCCCCCCGGCCGCCCTCCAGGTCCGGAAGGGAGGGGTGGGCGGGGCCAGCTTCCGGGGGTGGGCGGGGCCAGCGCTGGTTGGCCGGCTGCGAGCGGAAGTAGGGAGGTTCGGTGGGCTGGAGTCGCTGGCTTGTGACAGGGAGGGGAAGAAGGAAGGCCTGGAAAAGGTGGCTTCCCCATGCCTTCGCTCCCCGAGACCCTCGGAAAAAACCCAACACCCCGGCCCCGCGGCTAGCCCCTTCCCCCAGGCTCTCTCCGCTGGATTTCGCCACCGTTATGTGGGAAGCGAATCCGGTGAGTCGCCGGCGGGACGGGGCGGACCCAATGGGCGGGGTTGAGGGGAGAGGGGCGGGAGGGGTTTCCCGGGAACCGGTCCCCCCCGCACCCGCTGCTGGCTGGCACTTGAGTTCCGGGGGCCCGACGATCCGGGCCCCCGAGGCTTGGCCAGGTACTGCCATTCCGAATGGCAGAGATGGCTCCGGGGGCTCGCCGAGACTGTGTGGCTTTATTACAGTTATTCTAGCTGCCGTGACTGTCCGCCTGCTCCCTCCACTGTCATCTTAAACTTTGTGTTTCGCATTCTGATGGGAGTTACTGGGCTTCGAGCCTGTTACTCACCTGTGCTCCAGGTGTACCTGCCAACCCACCCGTACAGTGGGATTCGACCTGTGTCTTAGTTAGGCCTAGGAGGAGTCATGTGTACTCGCTCCCACTTCTTGGTGGACAGTCCTGGAAACTTGGGGTACGGAGTGTATGTTCTAAGCCTCCAGATGGTGAAGTTCTTAGTTGTTTTTTTTTTTCCAGTGGACAGAACTGATGACCTGGAACGTTTCAACGTTGTTTCCCTCCTACGCTTTTGACTCCGGCATTTGTATTGTGGCTGCGTTGTATTTTTGTCTACTTTGCTTTTGTTTATTGAATGTGCAGCCCTTGTAGTGGCATCTGATTGCCAAGAGTACTCCCAATTCATCTCTTGTTAGGGTTAAAATTTCCTAGTAACATGGCAACTGTACACTGTTTACACCGATGGGTTGAGTGGAAAATGGCAGAATCGATTTTAAACGATTGTTGGACTAAACAAACTGCCGCCTCTGCTGAGATCACTGCGTAAATTTACTTTAATAATCTTTGCAGTAAGTTGCCATACTTGCAGTAACTCCTTTGTTATAATCAGTACTTCTTTTGTTTTTTTTGCCCCCCTCTGCAGAAACATATTTCTAGATAAGTTCAAGAGTTTTTCAGTAAATTCACTTAAGCTTTTAAGTTTTTATCCAGTAGAAACTGGTCTGTTCTGTAAATGTTGGTTGCAAATTGTGATTTCATCCCATTCCATTGTATAGCAGTGGTCATTAAATAAATTTTCCTTTTGATCATATGTGTAATAGTCTAATCAGTCTTCATCAGAGGAACGTATTTGCCAGTATTTGATTTCAGCAAAAATAATTTTTTGAATGTGCTCTCTGCTTATAGATTTAGTTTCACTGTCATCAACAGTCTTTTTATATATTTGTGCGTATGTACATATCTCTATGAATATAAATGTGTGTGTGTATATATATATATATATTTATTAGCAACCCCCTTCTTGATTTTTTTCCATAACAAGTCCTTGAGTTATTCATGTATATGTCTTGCTCAAAAGCCCATGTTTTAAATCCTTTGCTCTGTTGGAAGCTCCATATAGCAGGGTTTTGGTATGTTTTGTTTGCTATGGTATCCTAGAAAACAGAACCTAGCATATTGTAGACATTCAGCCTAGAAAACAGAACCTAGCATATAGTAGACATTCAGTAGATATGTGTTGAATTAGCTATGATGATTGGATCAGTACCAGAGACAGTCATTTTCTCCCACCTTTCATTCTCTCTTTTCCATCACATATACATCAGAATTTTCTGTTTGATCATTTTATGAAGACTATAAATGCATTAACAAATGTCTCATATATCTGATTAGTTATAGCGTCTCATTTCTTTGTAAGAAATGCTGTTTTCTCTGAAGTCATCATAGCAACTTTGCTTGATTTCAGTACAGCAGACTGACTTTTGTTAATAGTTGTGAACCTTTCGCATTTAATCCCACATTCTTCTTTGACCCATATCATGCTACCCTACAATTTCTTAATGCTACTCTATTTTCTTAGTTCCTGTAAACATATGAATGCTGTCTAAAAGGACAGGTTAATTTTTAAAAATGCAGTCAACGTTCTGCATGTGAGTTTCTCTAGTCATACTTGTTAGTTTCTTTCAGCAGAGGAGGAAGCTGAATAGTCTGTTCAGCAGTATTTATGGAATGAAGATTAATTTTAATGCTAGCCTAAGCCAAATATGATTGGGAAGATTTTTTAAACACACACAGACACACACACATACAATACATCCTAAAAATAAATGCAGATGAATTTTGTACCAACCAATTTAAATCACTGTTTAACATTTTTACCATTGGATGAGATAATAAATTCTACTTTGTGAAAGAAGATCATTTTGAACTACTTTCATTGAAGACTTCTTCCTAGTACCTCCGTGTATATTATTGGTAGCATTCATGACCATAATATGCCAACTATGATCAGCAGATATACTTCTTCTTGAAAATACACCTTCTGTGTGATTCTGTATTCCATTCACAAGTGTTTTAGGAAAACATTACCCTGACTCTGGTTGTGGTAGTACTCATGGCCATTTCCAGGTGAAAAGTTTCCATGACATAATTTGAGTGTGGAAAATCACTACTGAGCTTACATTTCCTTAGGAGTTGGGGGAGTCCAGGACAAGATACCCAAGGAACTATAAGTAAACTCAGTACATGTATTGGGTTGTTGGAAAAGGCATTATGCATTTTTGCAAGAGATTGCACTAGTTCATTTCTAGAAGTACTAGAGTATTCACATCTATGTTATTGCTAGTCATTTGACAGTCCTAGCTACAGTCTAAAAAAAAAAAAGGAGTGATTTGTTTGAGTTTTGGAGATTTTACAAGTCGAAGGTGGAAGATCAAACCCTGCATTTTCACCATATTTTACTGGTTTACTTCCCTTAAGGGAAGAACATGCATCGAACTTGTGAAAAATTGAGTAAAGATTACAGTCACAATGCTCTACAAGAATGTCAGTGACAGCGATGGTTCACAAAATTCCGTGCTGATGATTTTTGTCACAATGATGCTTCTTGGTCAGGGAGCCCACTGAGGTTGATGATGACAAAATAAAGGCATTGATCAAGTCAAACCCATGTTACACGACACGAGAGATTACAGAAACCTTGAACATCATCATTTAAGCATTCATAACCACCTGAAAAATCTCTGAGACATAAACAAGCTCTATATTTGGGTTCCTCATGAACTCAAGAAGTTCATTTGACTACGAGTATAAACATCTGCAATATGCTCATTAAATGTGAGGAAAACGATCCTTTTTTGAGGTGACTGATAACTAATGATGAGAAATGGATTGTGGTGGTGCACCAATGGTCACCAACGGTCTTGGTCCCAACATGATGGTTCGCCTCAAATGACGTCGAAAGCAGACATGTATCAGGAAGGTTATGCTCTCATTGTGGTGGGATCTTAAAGGTGTCATGTTTTTCAAGTTCTTACCAAAGAACCAACCAATCCAGTCAAATGTGTACTGTCAGCAATGGGCAGTTTGAATGAATCCATCATCCAGAAACATCCAGAGCTCATTAATTGTAAAGGAATTGTGGTCCATCACGACAACGTGAGAATACACACAAGTTTGGTCATCAAAATTCTTGGAGTTTGGATGGGATGTGTTGCCACATCCACCATACTCACTTGACCTTGTGCCATAAGACTTCCACTCATTTCACTCTTAAAAACCCCTTGCGTGATATAATGTTCAATTCAGATGAGGCTGTAAATTAGCACCTTGTTCAGTTTTCCACCAATAGAAACAGCTCCCCCCTATAAACGAGGAATTACCACGCTCACTGAAAGATGACAAAAGATTATTGAACAAAACAGGGAATATATCATTGATTGATCTTTGTTCTTTATATGAATAAATGACCTTCGAAAACCAGAAAAAAATACATCATGACTTTTCCGACAACCCACTAATTTTATTTTTCACAATAGTCATGAGGTCAGTGATGATTCTGTCTAAGCTTTTCACTGACCAGACACCTTGAGGAAAGCATAAGGTGCTTCCCAAGGCAGACCAGACTGACAGAAGTAGCAGGCACACTCTGTCCCGATGTACTTGGCATTTGTTCCTCCACTGGGAGGCATCCCTGGACTTATGTCCCCCAGATTAGGAAAGTTGCCTATCTGCAGGAAGAAGTTGAAGGTAATGCCATTACTCCTTTGACTTTTTATATCCTGACTATCCTGATCTTCTGTCTCCTTGTCATTGTCTTTTTTTTTTTTTAAGATTTATTTATTTATACAAGCACTGGGTACAGTCAGAAGCGTGGGAGGGTGAGAGAATTCACAAGAGCCAGAGCAGGAAACAGAACAGGCAGACTGAAGAAATACACGGCTGAGAGGAGCAACGGGTGGCAGGAGAGGTCTGCAAGCCATGTGGGACCCTCACCAGTGGCCGGGGATGGAACCGGCACTGCAGAGGCTGTGGGCAGCTTCGCAGCCCAGCGCTCAACCGCTGCGCCACTGGGGAGGCCCCCTCCTTGTCATTGTCTTATCCCTCATTGGAATTGTAATAAGTAGATCTGTATTATCTCTGAGGGAATTTCAACTTCTCTCTGTCACACTGATGAGGGGAACTGAAAAATGACAAACATCTATTCAAGATTATAAGCTTTCTATGGCAGTAATAAAGCTGTACTTTCAATGATACTTCCCAGATTCCACTTATCAACTCATGCTTTTAGGACAATCTGATGGCTTAACTAAGGGAGGGGGAAATGATTTCCCAAGATCAGGTGAATAAGCAACAGAATGATATTAGTACCTGTATTCTCTTTCCTACATTCTGTTTGGTGATAGCAGTGATAAAATTTGCGTACTGGTGCAGGCCTTCTCCTGCTGGGCCGCCTTTTACTTTGTCACAGCTGTTGCAAGACTAGTCAGGAAGCTGCAGTACAGTCCAGGGTAGAGTTGAAGGTGACTTGGTCTAGGTGCGTGGTGGGAGACAGGCAGGAGTAGATTACTTCAGGCTCCATATTGGTAAGTGCTAGGCTTCTGGCACAGTCCACAAGGAAGTGGGACAGGCTTTCCCTGAGATGGGAAGACTGAAAAAGGCAAAGATACAGAGGAGATAAAGAGTTTGGTTTTGGACCTATTACAGGTTTACCGTGCTTCTGAAGCCTTCAAGTCAGAGAGGCCATTGGCTAGATGAGTTGAACTCAGAGAACGCTAAGCTGGAAATTGCGATTTGTCCTCAGCTTCTGTAGATGTCCTAAGAGCCCGAGGACAGTGTTTCTCAAACTTTTATTGCCCATGCAAATCACCAATTTTAAACAAAAAAGCAGTATTTTAAAAACTAATGTTTTATTATCATTGAAAAGAATATTTTATGTAGACTCTCATTCTGTACCTAACTTGATGATAGATAGATTGAGATGTTGGTTCGACCCAGACACTTTGATTTCCCCCCCTATATTTCTACTAATTTAGGAAATCCCATGCTATAATTATAGATGGTCAAGATGTGCAAGTGGTTTGCTTGTGCTATCAGATGTTTTGGAATATCAAGATCAAATCCACTGAGAAACTATGAGAGGATTTCTCCTTCAGGAATATTTATAGTGCCTTGTCAGTTACCAAATTGATTAACTTGTAATATTAAGCAACTATAAAGGTGAAATGTTTTCAGTCAGCCTGGATATTTGGAAGATGGAGGCAAATACATCTTTAGTCATTCTTTGATTACTTCACTCTTTAGAAAGTATCTCCTAGTGTTTTCTTGTAACATTTGAGTATGTTCTATATATACCCACAATAATAAAATCAGTCTCTTGATGAGTAAAGATAGCTATCAGATTTGGGGGAGGAATCATACCCTAGCCACTGAGCTTTTTGTAGCATAGTTTCTTGATTTTGAAAAATCTGGTATTTTATTCTCAGCAGTAAAAATTGGAGTATGTTGGCTTTGAAATAGTAACTTCAGGTTACTTAAGATATTAAATATATTTCAGCTGTATTCCAGTCCTCTGCAAAGCAAAGATGACTTTATTGGCATTACCAGCATCAAGAAAAATGTTTTTAAATCTCATCTCTCATCTCAGAAACTCACCTCAGAGATGTTTTTTCCTTAACAGCCAATAAACTTGAGTGGGAAGAGTAATCTTGCAAACGCAGCCATTTCTTTTCACAACATCTGAGAGAATATACTCTGAGTAGTCAAAATTTGATGATAGTCAATTTTCAATATTTCCAACCACTCAATTTTAGTCAGGAGGCTTGTTGTTGTCTTCTGTTTCATATGTTCAAAACATCTTTAAGTAATATAGCAGTACCTTTCCTTGCTATCTGTGTAACTCATGGTTTCTCAGTTTTGGATATTACACCTTTGTAAAGCCACATCACAGCTCATAAAAATATCATTGTCTAAATGAAAAAATTGCAAGCAGCACATTAAGTTGAGTATTTCTACTTTACACATACTATATGTGTATACACATACATATATTTAGATCTGATTCATATTTTATTCACAAGTAGTTTGTTCAATTTTAAAATGAAATATATGCTGAAACTCATTCATGTGCTATATTATCATTCATGTGATAATTTCTCTGTCATATTGTGACATTTAATAAAGAAATTTTGTCAATCGCTTCTTTAGATTGGACATTAAATTAGGTTTAACAAACACCTCAGCAATGTCACAACTTTTACCTGTTTTAGCTGAGAAAACCTCTTTGGTTTTAGTCCCTCCTTTACCCTTATCAAGAAAGCAAATTGATTTGGACTATTCTGTGAAAATGATGTAAACGTTTACTTGGTTTTACACCACCATATTTGCTGAATACTAGCTGATAAACATAGATCAAATTAGGCATTATAATAAATTGGTAACATTTATAAAGAGATTTTCATGGAACATCATTAACCTTATATTTCAACTTTACAAAATGTATGTGAACAAATCTTTTATTATTTTTCCTTTGAAAATGCCTGTGAACTACTTAATTTTTGAAGACTGTGTTTGAGAATGCTATGAAGGACGCAAAACAGAGCTAGGATTGAGCCATAAGGACCCCTAAAAATGTACAGACCAAAGAGAAGTCATGGTGCAGAGAAGACTGAGAATTTGTGGTTAAAAATATAAAAGCAGGGCCTCTCCTGGTGGCGCAGCAGTTGAGCTCTGGGCTGCGAAGCTGCCTGCAGGCTCTGCAGCGCTGGTTCGATCCCCGGCCGCCAGAGAGGGTCCCACATGTCATGACAGACCTCTCCTGCCGCGCCCGCTGTTCCCCTCAGCAGTGTATTTTGTCAGTCTGCCTGTTCTGCTCCCCGCTCTGGCCCTGGTGAATTCTCTTACCCTCCTGAGCTTCTGACTGTACCCAGTGCTTGTATAAATAAATAAATAAATAAATCTTTAAAAAAATATATAAAAGCAGGGCCTCCCCGGTGGCGCAGCGGTTGAGCGCTGGGTTGCGAAGCTGCCCGCAGCCTCTGCAGCGCCTGTTCGATCCCCGGCTGCTCCCCGGCCACCGGAGGAGGGTCCCACATGGCGCGCAGACCTCTCCTGCCGCCCGCTGCTCCCCTCAGCAGTGTACTTCAGTCCTTCTGCCTGCTCTGCTCCCCACTCTGGCTCTGGTGAATTCTCTCACCCTCCCGCGCTTCTGACTGTACCCAGTGCTTGTATAAATAAATAAATAAATCTTTAAAAAAAAAATATATATATAAAAGCAATCTTCAGTGTGATTTCAAGGAAGTCAAGAGAAGAATAATTCAGGGCACGGTAAATTGTGTGGAAAGTTTCTGAGAGGTCAAGTAAGATGAAGCTTGACAAAAATGCATAGTATTTAGCAACATGAATTGAAGCTCTTTGGAGATCCTACAGGTGTTTTTGTCTTTTTGGTGATGGTAGTGGGAGACAGTGGGCTAGAAACTAGAAAAGCTAAATTGGAGTAGGTTTTGGAGTGCTTGGAAATAAATAAATACAAGCTGCTTCACAGCTATTGCATTTTTACAAATTGAAGGTTTGTGGCAACCCTGCATGGAGCAAGTCTATGGGCATACTCACTTATGTCTCTGTCACATTTTTCAGCAGTAAAGAATTTTAAATTAAGATATGTGTGTTGTCTTTTTAGACATAATACCTAATAGACAACACACTTAATAGACAACAGTATAGTGTACTCTCAACTTTTATATGCACAAAAAGTCATGTGACTTATTTTTATTGCTATATTTGTTTTAGTCTAATGGAACTAAACTTGTAATATTTCTGAGCTGTGTCTGTTTGTGGTATGTAGATAAATAAAAATTTATAGGTATTAAGGTGCCAAAGCAGATAAAGTATAATCCTAAAAGTACTCAATACCAAAAGAATATAGAAAAAAAAAGAAAAAGGAAACAAAGGACAGGTAAGACAAATAAAAAGCAAATAGGATGATAAACTTAAACCCAATCTCATTTATAATCATACTAATGTAAATGCTCTAAACACCCCAATTTAAAGATGTTGCCATCCTGGATTAAAAAACACCAACCAAGTATAAATTGCTAACAGTTAACCCACTTTGAATATACACACATAGAATACAAAACTAAATGGAAAGAGAGACACACTGCTAACACTGGTAATGAGAAAACTTAACTGGTATGTTAATATTAAGGTAGATTTTATTTTATTTTTAATTGAGACAATATTGGGATTCCCCCATCATAGTGCACCTATTGCCAACTTACCCATATCCCACCACCACAGACCATGTAAACCAAGTAGATTTTAGAAGACCATGTAAACCAAGCAGTATCAGGGATAAAGAACACTATTTCCTAAAGATAATGAAGTCAGTTCATCAGGAGCAATCCTTAACATTTATACACCTAGTAGTAACGCTTCAAAATACATGAAGCAAAACTAAGAGAACTGCAAAGAGAAATGGTGAATCTCATTGTAGTTGGAGAGTTTAACACTCCTCTCAATAATTGGTAAAATAAGTAGAAGTGAATAATGATATAGAAGACTTGAACAAAACTGTCAGCCCTTGAGCTAATTAACATTTATAGACCTTTATACCCAGCAACAGCTAAATACATGTTTTTCCCTGATCCAGCTGTTTTACCACAAGTATGTTAACCACCAACATTTTTATTGCGTAACCGGCCATCCAGCTGTTCTCCCATAAGAGAGAAAAGAGCTGGTTGACAGTTTGGTTTCAGTTCTTTAAAGAGAGAACTGATTGACAATTTGCTTTCATTTTCCTTGGCTTCATTTCTCCAGTGCTGTGATAGGGAACTTTTAATGTACTTAACCTGATTATCAGCTTGGTTTCATTTCTTCACCAGTGAAATAAGAAACCAACTCTTTCCAGCTGATACATTATTTTCTAGTTATAGTAGTCTTTGACCTAACTTAACATCTCAGTTTCACACTTCCAACAAGTTTGATTACCAAAAAATACAAGAAATTGTATAATAAATATGTGAATGAAAGAGTTAGAAGACAAGTATGTAGGTACAATCCACAGAAGAAGATCCTGTTCTTGGTACAGTATTGCCACAAATCTACACACACATATGAAGAAGTCTTTTTAATTTTGTTAATTTTTCATGTTTATATTCTTTTGGATGTCCCACTTTTTGTCATCATACTTTTTTCTCTTTGGCAAATTTGACTTTGGACCAGTTATATGACAAAACTATTTGTGAGGAAATGACCTAGAGTCATTTTTTTCCGACTACAGAGAACATTTAAAAAGATGGACCATATTCTGGGCCATAAGGAGATCTCAATAAAATTAGATATCATTAAAGAAGGATCTATAAATTTCTCAAGTATTTTGTAAATAAGTAACACATATTTTAGTAATCGGTTGGTCAAAGAAATAAAAATGGGAAATACAAATATTAAATTTGTGGTATGCAGCTTCATAGTACTGAGGGAAATTCATAACTAAATTAATCTCTATATTGGAGAAGGAGAAATGTTGCAAATCACTGACCACAGCTTCTTCCTTAAGAAGCTAGAAAAGGAAGAGAAAATTAAACTTAAGCAGGGAAATGGAAATAAAATTTAGAGCAGCAGCAATCATTGAAGTGGAAAAAGAGAAAATCA